TGTGCTCATCACAAGTGCCTCCTTAATCCCCATCTGCTATTTTATTCCCGCAACCCCCTCCCTCTCCATCCTTTACCAAGTTCTCCGGAACACCCAACATACTGTGTATAGCTGACCACTACCGAACTGTTAAGCAGACCACAAACAGAAGGAGGAAATTCTTCAATTAAAAGGTAGGAATTAACTGTATTATTAAGTTCAGAATGTTAATTCTGACATTGATTAATTGTTAATGTCAAAATGGCTAAAATTAACAATACAAGAAACAACAGGTGCTGGTGAGGATACAGCGAAAGGGGAACCCTCTTGCACTGTTGGGGGGAATGCAAACCAGTGCAACCACTCTCGAAAATTGTAAGGCGGTTCCTCCAAAAATTAAAAATAGCACTACCCTACAATCCAGCTATTGCACTATTAGGTATTTATCCAAAGGATACAAAAAACAGATTCGAAAGGGTACATGCACTCCAGTTTTCATAGCATTATCAACAGTAGCCAACCTATGGAGAGCCCAAATGTCTATCAACTGATGAATGAATAAAGAAGATGTGGTATGTCTGTGTCTGTGCGTGTGTGTGCGCGCGCGCGCATACACACACACACTGGAATATTACTCAGTCATCAAAAGATGAAATATCTCCATTTGCAATGACATGGACAGAGCTAGAATGCATTATGTTAAGTGAAATAAGTCAGAGAAAGACAAATATATGATTTCACTCATATATGGGATTTAAGAAACAAAACAGTTGAACACAAGAAGAGAAGAGAAAAAAAGAGAAGAAGGGGAAACAAACCACTAGCGACTCTTAACAATAGAGAACAAACTGAGGGTTGGAGAAAGGTGGATGTGAGATGGGCTAGAAGGGTGATGGGCACTAAGGAGGGCACTTGTTGGGCTGAGCTCTGGGTGTTGTATGTAACTGTTTAGCCACTGAATTCTACTTCTGAAACCAATATTGCACTGTATGTTAACTGAAATTTAAATAATAATTTTAAAAAGATAGGAATTCATTGTAACACACTGAAAATAAGACAACCCAATGGTACACAAATCCCTCTTTGATAAGGAAGGAAGAGGTCCCAGTGTCTAACATCAGGCTCATTGTCAGAGGCTGCTTTACGTGAGACACGTAGAGCCATCCAGGCCAGGTGAGCTTTCCTGCCCTTCTTTTTCCGGTGCTGGCTGCCACTCAGTGCTCCAGAAGGAACAGATTACCTGTAACCCCTCTGATATGCTGTGCTTTCTCACTGGGTCCCTGGGAGTACAGCCCTTATCAGGCCATGACCCACTAACACAAAAAGCCACCACCACTTTCTGTTCCTTTGCTGCTAAAACCAAAGCAACTGCAGGGAATTCAGAATTTCTACGGTATTTCCCGTCATCATGGAGGAGGCTTTGTTACCGCTTTCAGAATTTGCTTAAGTGTGTTACGTTCGGCATTTCTGGATGATAATTTGTATTATTTCCAGCATCTGTATCTTCAGAGAGAATAATGTGTATAAGGGAGAGTGGTAGGAAGAAACAATAGTCAAATTTGTCTGGCAAAGCTAATCAGTGTAAATCAAATCAATTCAGGGAAAAAGTTGTATGCAAGGAGATTAAGGTAGCTCATGGCCTAAAGAAACAAAAAATCCTGTGTTTTTAGGGGGAAAAGTCGAGTAAGTTGTACTGGTTGCTGAGAAGCAGCTGCACACATCTCTGTGAGTTACCTTCATGTGGCTAGGCTCAGGTTCAGACCTACCCTCCCATTGCCACCAGTTCACCAGTCCCATTTAAGGGATGAGAAACTAAAAAGTCAACAAGGGACTTTTTTTTTTAATTAATAGACTTTATTGTTAGAACAATTTTAGGCTTACAGAAAACCTAGCAGGTTAAAAAGTTTCCATATACCTCTTTTCCGCTCACAATTTCCTCTATTATTTTGCGTTAGTGTGGTACATGGGTTGTAAATGAGGAACCAATATGGCATAGGATTATTTTTATTTGTATTTAAAAAAATTTTTTTTAATATTTTTTATTTATTTCTGAGAGAGACAGCAGGGGAGTGGACAGGGGAGACTCAGAGTGAGAGGTAGACACAGAATCTGAAACAGGCTCCAGGCTCTGAGCTAGCTGTCAGCACAGAGCCCTACACGGGGCTCGAACACACGAACAGTGAGACCATGACCTGAGCCGAAGTCGGACGCTCAACCGACTGAGCCACTCAGGTGCCCCAGCATAGGATTATTTTTAAAAATCCATAATTTATATTAGCGTTCACTCCTTGTGTTACAGAGTCTGTGGGTCTTGACAAATGCATAAGGTCACATATTGGTCATTATGGTCACACAAAATATTGCTTCAGTGCCCCGAAAATCCCGCCCCCCCCCCACTCCCGCCCAGTCGGTCCTACCCTGGTGGCCTAATCAGGGAGGGTCTTGACCCCACCTGGCTCCGCACCTGCGCACCCTCCTGCACCAAGTGATTTCCGTTCCCACACAAGCAGCACGGAGCTCCTTACCTGCGCTCTGCCCTCCACTCCTCTGCACCTGATCAGGTCTCTGATCAGCATCTTTCCTACTTTTCTGTGCTTCACCTTCCTTCCATGCAGTGATTGCGGTCTGCATGTGGACGCTGCATGAGTAATGTCTCTGACCCTGGTGTGGAGGTTCATGAGCGAGGAATGAGGCCCGAGAAGGACAGAGCTATTTCAGGGCTCCCTCCTTGTTCGTTTCTGCTGCTTAGACAGGTTATCCACATCACTGGTTACTTAGGCCAGCAGCAATTTTTAAGCACCCCCTGTCCTGCCTTTAAAAATCTACCACTTCAGGCACAATTTCTTGACTCTTCTCTAAACTGATGAGAAAATGAGGGTCACTACACTTTCTTCTACTCTTCTTTACCTTACCTTCTGACAGGCACTGTTTTGCTGTATAATATGTAAAAATTTCTTTAACCATACTAATAGTTTCTGTGCTTTTGCTCTAAATGGATCTAAAACAAACGCACCAGGGCCAGCTGAGTGACTCAGTCGGTTAAGCACCTGACTCTTGATCTTGACTCAAATCGTGATCTCATGGTACCTTAGTTTGTGCCCCTCCTCGGGAGCCCTTTCCTGTCCTCTGACTGCTCTCTGTCCCTCCCCCACCTGTGCACACGCCCCACCCAAAAAACAAACACTAAACACACACACACACACACACACACACACACCCCAAAGGCCGTTATTCAAGAACAAGGTTAGTTCTTTTACTCATAAGTTTTTTCCATGGCTATATTCCAACCATTCCTCTTTTTTGAATTACTGTTTAATTAGATTATTTTCCCTATTTTTATTTTAGACTCTTTGGAAGAGTCTAAGAATCACTGTCTTGTATCCCTTTATATGTAAAAAGGATATTGTTATTTTTATGAGATCTCAATGTGCAGTCAGTTACGCTCACTGGTTAATGGCACACTGTCATCTCTGGTCCAGGCAGGAATCCTCATTGATCCATTGCCTCCCCTTTTATCCCTATGCCACATTCTCGTTCTCCTTACTCTTTTCGTAGGCAAGCATGTTAGTGTGTATGTATATGCATATATTTACATTTTTAATGTGTATTTTTAAATTTTGTCATTTGAAGTGTCTTATTGTGTTTGCATTTATTTTAATTTACATAGATGGGTTCTGTAATGTATCACAATTCTGTTTCTTACTGGGCATTGTTTTCAAAATGCATTATGTTGTCAGTTCACCTGCATTTCTCCATGTGCCTGTGTGTATCTATGTGTGTTGCCTATCTTTTCTTCCAGTAACGGTCACCAAGTTCAAATATATTTTATGTTTTCCTTAAACATTGTTTGTGTCTAAATATATTTTAGCCCTCTTAACTGAGTTTATGCCTTCTGATTGAGTGTTCAAATATATATATATACACACTTCTGTAGAGTTTTGTGAAATTTGAAAACTGTCTTTTTCACGTAGTTATTGAATAGATATGTGCTTTGACATTTTCCCATAAGGACTTGAGGTACCTTTCTGCAAAGACCATATACTCTAAGGATAATGAATAGAATAGGAATGGAAAGTCATTACTTTACAGAAGAAGAGGAATTTCCAAATATTTTATTTAAAATCAAACATTGTAGGGGCTTCTGGGTGGCTCAGTCGGTTAAGCGTCTGACTCTGGATTTCAGCTCAGGTCATGATCTCCAGATTCGTGAGTTCAAGCCCCGCATCAGGCTCTGTGCTGTCAGAGCCTGCTTGGGATTCTGTCTCTCCTTCTCTTTTCCCCTCCCTGTTGTTCCTTCTCTGTGTGTGTGTGTCTCTCTCTCATTCTCTCTCTCTCTTTCCCTCAAAATAAATAAATTAAAAAAAAAAAACATTATAGCCTTGGTTGAACATTACATTTAACTTTAACTTTATAAACTGAAAAATTGAAAACATGGTAAATAATACCAGTTTTCATCATCCAGATAGAGGACGCGTACTCGTTCCTTGGGTAGGTACGGGTCCCGGGCAGAGGTACTTCTCAGTGTACGTCCTCGAGAGGAGCGTGGCTGTAGGAAGCAGCTAACCATTAGCAGGACTGGTGAGGGCCACTGGTTCTAGCAGCTCCGGGTTTATTTACACTTGACCCAGTGTTTGATTAAGACCCTAGAATTCTGTCTTATAGAAACTAAACGGATTCAGTTTAGTCTTTGGAATTGCCAAGTATAGATGCAGTCTTCGCTTTGCCCCCTTGTTATCTCTGTGGCCCTGGACACATTTAATCTCTGCAAACTTCACTTTTCTCATATGTAAAAGTGATCATTAACAATAAGCTGCCTTGTAAAATTACAGGCAGGATTAAGTCAGGTGAAAGTTTGTGGGATTATTCAGCATGTACCACTTAAATTTGTTGTCAGGATTAAGTATGATGAACCACATGAAATTCTTGGATGCTACGTAGTGTGTACGACCAGGTCTTCAATGCACACTGACACCCTACCCTTTCCATTCACTGCATTAATGATCATTCTCTCTCTACTTCAGGGAAAGCACAAGCTGCATGTAGACACCGGAATGGAAGGTGACTGGTGTGGCCTTATTCCTGTCGGACAGCCTTGCAATCATGTCACCACAACAGGCCTCAAGTGGAACCTGAGTAAGTAAAACCCTTGCCAAAGGGAGGCTTTCTTTCTTAAGAAATGTATATAATTAACAATGATGGAGATCTCGGTCTATCTGGTAGACCCCCAGCCGTGGGGCCACTGGTTCTAGGCAGCTCTGGTTTAACCTGGAGTGGACTTCGAGCTGTCTTCCGAAGCAGCTGCTCTGTTTCATATCCCTCCTAGCGACGTGTGAGGTCTCCCGTTCCTGCACATCCTCACCCACATGTGGCATTCTCTTTCAGTTTTGTTTTGACACATCTTTGTGGATATGAAGTGGTATCTGATTGTGGTTTTGCTTTCTTCCCCGATGACTAAGGATGTCAAACATCATTTCGTGTGCTTGGGGGCCACTTGTATATTTTGGAGGAATGTATTCAGAACTCTTTGTGAAACCTTCTTCATGATTTTGTATTCTTGAAACCTTTACTTTTCCAGATAAGCAGGTATTCTAACTCAAGTAGTAGATCTTCTCCATAATCAAACCTCTGAGACTTTGTAAGATTAGGTGCTCATACTAAGTTTTAAAATGTTTCCCAGTACTCATTAACTGTAATCAGTCCAGGTTATACTAAAAGTGTCTGATCTGAAAAGAACAAAAAATGAGGTGGATCTTTTCATGATTTAAATGCTAATTCCAGAATAAACCATCAGGCTTGTGAAAGGAGTCAAGTTTAGTCTCTTTAAGAATAACAGCAATTTAATCAAAGAGTTTTGGTTCAGTGTCAAAGGGATTGTCTCTTGATTGACCCGATACCGACCTTCTAAGGTTCTAAAAACCAAAATATGGAACCACGTCCTTTGAGAACCCTTAGGTTCTCACAAGAAAACGAATATTTCAAGAAGTAAATAATTTGAAGATAAAAAGATGTTTTGAAAGATTTTTCTACGAGCCACTGCTGAAACAATTAGGAAAAACTAGAGATATTTGGAGGCAAATGTCTGGAGAGCTCATCAGAATTTGAAAGGATGGTGAGACAGATCCGCTCTGGTGCACGGAAACCGGTGACAGGCTTTGAAGCTGTTTGGCTAAAACTGACACGAGTTCCTGTTAGAAACTTTCTGTGAAAACATTTGCAACCTAAACCACTTGTACTTGTTAGAGTTCCATTCTTTCGCGGGACGGAGTCTAGACACCCGTGAGGTCCTTCTGGGTCTGGCTGGGAGCTCCCTTCTCAGGGCTAGTTGGAGGACCCGGGGAGATAGGTGGTTCTTCAGGGCTTTTGAGAACATCCGCTGACCCCCCGCTGTCCCACATCCTACTTCCATATAATGAAGGTGACTCTGGGTAGGGGGCCTTGGGCGTGATGTGGCTCTCATTTTCCCTGTCCGTGATAATGTTCCAATCACGCAGAAATGCTCCGTACTATTACTTATTTATATGCGTTCAGATTGCACTGACTTCTGAAATAATTATTTTTTCCTCTACAATTTTATGTAAAATATGGAAATAGCAACTTAATGGAGTATGCAAAATAAGAAAATTGAGACGCAAACTGCTTCATCCATTCTGTATGGTGAAAGTGCTAACTAATGGGGTCTTGTGATAGGTAATATTACTTCATTAAAAAGTAGTGATAATAACAGCTGGGAAACGACGCAGTGCTGACTTGAAGAGCAGTGTCTAGATTTCTGTCACTGAGAGGACAGGGCCCCTGCCCAACTCGGTGTCCCTGTCTGGGAAAGCTGAGCCCTGAGGTCAACGTCAACTTAACAGTCACACCCACGAAGTGACATGAAGGGCAGGGAAAGAGAACGGAGGTGCAGTTACTCAAGTCAGGTGCTGATCAGTTCTTAGGTCACGGAGAGGACCCAGGTCCTCCTAAGGAAACCGATTAGCATCTCCCCCAGGTGCCCTGGAGGCCGGCTCTCTCCCAGGCCTCACCCGCTCTAAAATATGATGCCACAAGTTCTGAGACTAATCCGATTTCCCTGTTTCAATGTGCAGTATCTCTCATCACCTCCTGTCTTTAAAACAAGTGTGAAAGGTGCCTTTGTGCCCATCACCTAAAAGTGAAACTCAACAACTATCTCTGAAGCTGCCTGTTGGACAGTATTTCATTTCATAGCAGTGTGCTCTGAACACCGTGTGCCATGGTTCTGGGACGAGGGTTTCTCTAGGCTGCGCGCACTCGGGTAACACAGCCGCATCCTAGACCTGAGCCTCTTGACCTTCACTAGGGCCCCTCACCGCTCTGACATTGGCGAGCCGCCGCGAACTCATCCAGGAGAATGCAGGAGCCCCTGGGCTCTGTGTCCTGGCGCGGTTCTCGGTATTGTGAGATTTCAGCGTTTTTGCCAGGCTGATGCATGTCAGTGCTGCTTCATTGCGGTCTCTGGCTACCACTGAGGGAACACATCTCTTGGTAGTTATTCCGGCTTTTTCATCTTCATAAATGTTATTAGCATTAGCATGACAGGTTGTCATATACACAATCCCCTTGTATGTTTTATTAGAAATACTTTTCATTTGTACATTAATTGGGAGAAAACAACAATTGGGGAAGGAAATTCCTGTGTCTAATGGAGTTTTTTTCATCCATAAACATAATATATCGCTCCTTTTACTTAGAACTTTTTAATTGCTTTCAGTCATTTAAAATTTGTCCATAAGATCCTGTACATCTTATGTAAGATTTATTTCTAGGAACCCTATGTTTTATGTTGCTATTGTAAATTATACCTTTTAAAAAATTAAATTTTCTGAGCTCCTTGGTGGTACATAGACATACAGTTGATTTTTAGTATATTGTATCAATGCATTGCTGAATGCTTTAATTGTTTTTAAAAAGCGTCAGTATAGATTCACTTGGGTTTTCTATAGACAATCATTTAAAAAATTTTTAATGGTTATTTATTATTTTTGAGATGGGGGGGAGAGGGAAGAGAGAGGGAGATACAGAATCCAAAGAAGGCTCCAAGCTCTGAGCTGTCAGCACAGAGCCCGACACAGGGCTCCAACTCACGAACCGCAAGATCATGACTTGAGCTGAAGTCAGACGCTTAACCAACTGAGCCACCCAGGCGCCCCTAGACAGTCACATTTTTGGTGGTAATCAAGTTTTCTTTCTCCTTTGGTCTGTAACAAATAAGAACGTGTTCAGTTCTGACTGACTGAAATAGCAGCTTTGAAAAGATCTTTTCCTTTTTTCCCCATGTAACAAAGTACAGAGCCAAGCAGTTACAGGGCATGGCATCTGTGGTTTCCTCAGCCTTTGCCTCCACATCCTAAGGTGTCTGTCACAGCTCCAGCCTTTGTGGTCCCCCGCCAGCCTCAGGAGAGAGGGAAGGGAAGAGAGGAGGCTGGACTGGCACACAGAGAAGAAAACAAAGCTTCAGGGATTCCACCATTTCCAGAAGCCCTTCCTGCATCCAGTCTTGTGCCTCAATGGCCAGGACTATCAAACAGCCACCCTAGCTGCAAGAGAGCCTGGAATGTAGTTTTGCATCTAAAGGCATCGCGAGTGAAACCAGGGTTCTATGAGTGAGGAAGAAGGAACGTTTAGGGGTTAGCTCTTCTGTCAAAAAAACAGTTTTCTCTTCGTCTACCATCTTGATAAACAGTTCAGCTGTTCATATGATAAAAATCTTATTTTCATTTTCTTTGGGCCATACTCTTAGGAATTTCTCTTGTTACTACTGAAGAATCCGCAGTTAAGCACACTGATTCTCATTCATTTATAATCTGCCATTAGCTCTCTGTCCTTTAGACCTTATGTTTTTCTTTGACGTCCTATGGTTTCCCTACCATATGTGTCGGTGTGACCTATCTTTGGTGCTAGTTAGTTTTCCTTAACTCTGGTAATTGGTACAGTTCTATGTAAATTTTTCAAATATCCCCTGTTTTTCAGATAAGAACATGGTAGTTCCAAGCTCTAGGCAAAGATTTGCCCAAATTCACATCACTAGGGATTGATGCACTCAAAAGTTTGAATTCAGGTCTTGTATGCTATTTTTCCTTGTTTCCAATTAGTAAATGAAAGACTCTGTATAAGATAAGTTGATATTAAAAAGAAAGCACTAAAACAAATTTGGGATAAAGAAAACCAGAGGAAGGCACATGTACACGGGAACGCAAGAGGTAGGAGGAAGAAATGGAAAGGATTGGGAAGAAGAATTTAAATTCCCCAGGACAGAGCTTTTAACTTCTCTACACTTTAGCCTAAGAAAATATCAAATGGAATTGCCCCGCATTTGCCCAGCCCTCTTTTTTTTTTTTTTTTTAATGTTTTATTTATTTCTAGGAGAGAGAGAGAGAGAGACAGCGTGAGGAGGGGAGGGTCAGAGAGAGAGGGAGTCACAGACTCCGAAACAGGCTCCAGGCTCTGAGCTGGCAGTCAGCACAGAGCCCGACGCGGGGCTCGAACCCACGAACCGCGAGATCATGACCCAAGCGAAAGTCGGACGCTTAACCGACTAAGCCACCCAGGCGCCCCTGCCCAGCCCTCGTTTATGACCCTCAAACTGAGTGTGAAATTATGCCTTCGTTGTTCCTTCTCCTGTGTTTTTTTCCAAGTATAGAAATAAATGGCAGAATGAAATAATTTCATAGCACTGACTGACAGAGACTCGAATCTAACCCAAGTGAAGTATTTTTGAAAGAAAAAAATTAAGAGAAAACCATTTGAAAAGATTTTTCACCTGGTAATAATGCAGTTTCAGTGAGAAATGCCCTTAATTCTCACCTCATTATGACTCAGAGTGGTTTCGAACCCTAAGTTAGGATTGCGAGTCTGGCGCAGGAGAGAGGTTTCTGCCAGAGATGGAAGTTGGGGAGTTGTTAGCATATAGGTCCTGCTGTGAGCCAGAGCCACTAACTCCTGAAGTGTTTTACATTTTTAGGTGCCTTTGTTATTAGTCATTGCTTTTCTAGTCCAGCGCTTTAAAAGGGCACTCTGAAACTGGGAAGGCAGTATTTCCTGTCTGATTCAAGGACAGTATCTTTCATATCTTATTCTTTGATAACCAGCAACCTACTTTGAATTGAAGATATTGT